GCTGCTGGTCAGTTTCAGCAGCAGCTGAATGGGGGAAGCCTGTCCGGCTACCCCAGCACTTCTGGGTTCCTGATGGTGCCGGACCATCAGGAGTCCCGGAGCATTGGATGCCGGACTAATGGAGTTTTACTGTACTTGCCAGTATCCCTTGGTTAAGTCTAGGGTGGAGATGAACTGGGAGAGTTCCAGTTTCTCCAATGGCTCATTTGCGGGTGGCATTCAATAGTTTTCTGGACAAGTTACAGCATTTAGTTTATGGTAATACACACAAAAGCAAGCTTGGGGACTAGGACCACAGAGAGGCTTATACACTCTCAGAAGACCAGATTGCACCCATCTCTAAAATGTCCTTGAACATAATATCCAAGTTATGTTCTACTTTTAGTGCACTACCTCGATGAAAACCACCATGGCTGCGTCTAGGCTGGCAAGTTTTTCCGCAAAAGTGGCCGCTTTTGTGGAAAAACTTGCCAGCTGTCTACACTGGCTGCTTGATTTTGCACAAAAGCAACTGACGTTTTACTGTCTGAAATCAGTGCTTCTTGCACAAATGCTTTGACGTTCCCGTTTGGGCAAAAGCCCTTTTCCAGAAATGCTTTTGCTCAAAAGGGCCAGTGTAGACAGCTGAAAACTGTTTTGCGCAAAAAAGCCCCGATGGCAAAAATGGCGATCGGGGCTTTCTTGCACAAAACCGTGTCTAGATTGGCACGGACGCTCTTTTCCGCAAATGCTTTTAACGGAAAAACTTTTCCGTTAAAAGCATTTGCAGAAAATCATGCCAGTCTAGACGTAGCCCATGAGTATGTCTCCTTGAGTGGGGAATTACCCCTGCGGTGTAGAGTGTAACCATCCCTGTAGTTCACAGCAAGCTGGGGTGTGATTCTACCCCCCACTAATCTGCCAGAATCCTGTGGAGTCACACAAAAAGTTCTGTGGTGCCCACTGGTCCAGACTGCTTTGAAATGGGAGTTGTGGGTTAGGGAACTGGTTGTGTATGGCTGCAGGAGTCACATAGATGGTTAGTGTATGTCTGGGTAAATGTACACCCTGCCTTGCTGCAAATGACGTGTTTGTATAGCTGAGCCCCTTAAATTGCAAACTCTTCTGGCAGGGATCAAGTCTATACTTATGGAGTGCCTTGCATAGGGAGGCCCTGATCCTGATTTGGGCCTGCCATATAAATAAGAGGAGAATGTTTGGGGATTTATTTTCAGATTCTCTCAAGTGATCTGCCAAGCAGCGGTTACTATGATCACACTTTTGTGTGTGTTATGATGGGGCTGTTTTGTGTGTGTGACTGATCAGTTGAAAGCAGTATTTCTATTAACTTGGATGCTTTTTATGCTGAGACACACAATACCAGATGATTGTTTGATTTCACACTTAGTCATGTCCTCTCCTCCCACCGTTACCTATTTGTTACATAGACAATACTCATGCAGTGCTCTATGCACTTTCACAAAACCCACTCATTCTACATAATATAACAGATCCTCCACACATCCTTGACATGCTCCCCAAAGATCAGAGTCAAAGAGTCCTTTGTTTACTCTTCCCCCTCCCAAAATAGCCTAGAAAAAGATGAGCTTTGTATCTGGTCCATAAGGTTAATAATTCTGGGCTTTTGTGTGGTGAGTAAAGATTTTACAGAATCATAGAAATGTAGCATTGGAATAGACCATGACTGATTCAAGCCCCCAGCACTGAGATAGAATACCCGTCCTAGAACATCCTTGACAGGTGTTTGTCTAACCTATACAATCTCCAGTGATATGAGTCCACAGCCTCCTTCAGAAGTCTATCCTACCTTCACTATCCTTATAGTTTGAATGTTTTACATAGTATCTAACCTAAATCTCTCCTGCTGTTTGACTAAGAAGATTGTTTCTTGTCCTATTTTCAGTGAACATGGAGAACAGCTGATCACTGACCTTTTTGTAAAAGCTCTTAACATATTTGCAGACTATTTGCTGGTCCCCCTCTTAAGGCTAAACCTTTCTCAAGGCTAAACATGCCGATTTTTTTAACCTTTCCTCATAGGTCAGTTTTTCTGAACTTTTTATCAGAATGACCTGATTTCAAAGTCATATAGAAGTTGCTAGACATTAAATCAATAGCATCCTGCTAAAATATTAGGACTCTCTGGAAATTTCTGTAAACATTCCTAGACTATAATTTGCTCATGAGGGTGACCCAAGAACCCTTCTGTTTAAGCAAGGTGATCATTTTCCCATCTCCAGATTTTTCCTGAAGGATACCCACAGCTTTGGTTGACTTCAGGGGGGGCCTCTCAAAATCAAATACTTTTTAATTCATGTGCAGCAAGCAGAGGCTTTAGAAAAAGACTGGTGCACTAGTTTCTTTCTCTAGGAAGAGGTTAGAGAAGAGTAACTGAATAGAAAGAGAGTAGCTGGATTCTGATGGGTCTAATAACAGTGATGAAGATTCCTATATGAAAGAGGAAACATTGTTGAGTTCAAAGGTGTTTGGCCAGTCTGAGGCACAGTCTTAGCTCAACAGTGAGGGCTGGTTGGCTAGTGGAGGGCTGGTTAGAGAAGGGCAAGGATAAATATCTTAGATCTCCTTTCTCCTGAGCTGCAGGAGTGCATTTAGGAGCCCCGCTCTAGATCTGACACTGGTAACTGGTTTTTCACTCCCCTGTTGTACCCAAACCCTGGCTCAGGACTGCCCTGGTCTTTGGAATTCAGATTGTCTCCCTTGCCATGGCAGATGGGCATTTTTGGCAACGCCGCCCCACAAAACGAGCTGCCTGTGCTTTCCTGTGCTCTGAACATTAGCAAACTGATAGTGCAGCTGTGAAGCCAGCCATCCCAGTGCCTCTTCTACATGCCTAGTGTGCCAAGTGCCAACTTGAATCTGCATCACCATCTTCATACTCGGGGGGCAGGAGGGGGAGGGAAGGGGTAGAGAGAGCTTGGTGCTAACATGCTGAGCTTGGTGTTTGCGGCCAAGTTCCATTAAAAACTCTCGTGCCTAGTTTGCTCAGAATTTGGCAGTAGAGTCAGTCTGAGATGAAGACCAACACGACAATAAAATCCAAGAGATCAGGAATTGCTGTGGGGTTGGCACCGTTCCTGCCTGTACCTCCTGAACTGAATGTGATGTGACCGCCCAAGGCATGACTAAATGTGCAGAATCATTATCAGGGAAAGGGCTGGGTTCATGAAACTTTCTTTGGCCTGGAAAGGAGAATGAGTACAGGAGAACTGCTTCTTTGGCACCACGGTATGATACGCATCGCTGCACACACCACTAATCATGCTCTTTAGAGCTTGTGACACTCAGAATTTCACTTTGAAATTGGTTTCCATTCTGATTGAGACTGAAGTAAAAACAATCCAAAATTTCCCCCACGATGCCATTTTGGATCAACTGAAACATTTTGTTTGGATAAAATTGAAAAGTTTTGTTTCAATCCCAACTTGCAAAAATATTTATATTCTTATTTATGGAATACATTTTGAAACAGAGTCATTTCAATGTGAAAAATCAAAACATTCTCTTTCAACAAAAGGGCATGATCCAAATGCCCTTTTTTCAGTTTTTCTATTCCCAGAATAAAATTTTCTCCAAAACAACATGGTCCATGGACAACTTCAGTTAGGAGAAAATTTCATTTTCCAAGGGAAAAATGTTTGGTTGAAAAATGTTCAAGCAGTGCTAGTAATTTTCCATAATTTCCTCTCTTGGCCTCTTGGTGCCCTTTTTAATTTCTAACTAGAGTCTGAGTATTGTGTTTCCCGAGAATCCCCAGCTCTCATTTAGAGACAATTTTGAGTCTCCTGTTGTTTCTGTTCCCCTTGTTAGACTGAAGAGAAGCAGAAGGCCTCTGCAGCATTTGTCCAACTTCAAGCTGCTATGGAGACTTTGGGAATCACGGCAGATGAACAGAGTGCCATTTGGCGCGTGTTAGCAGGGATCTACCACCTAGGAGCAGCAGGGGCATGTAAAGGTAAAGGAATGATTGTACCTTTTATCTTCCTGGTTTTCCTACAACCCTTACCTGGCTGCTCTTGGAAGAGGAGGGAGAAGGCAGCCCAAGGGATTCAAAATTTGACATGGGAGAAAAAGTTGTGATAGAAATGTAGCCGTGTTAGTCTGGTGTAGCTGTAACAACAACAACAAAACAGGACTATGTAGCACTTTAAAGACTAACAAGATGGTTTAATAGATGATGAGCTTTCGTGGGCCAGACCCACTTCCTCAGATCAAATAGTGGAAGAAAATTGTCACAATCATATATACCAAAGGATACAATTAAAAAAATGAACACATATGAAAAGGACAAATCAAAGTGCACCCCTTACAGTCTAGCTCGACGCCGCCTCTGTTTCTGCATGCTGGTCTTTCTGTGAGTTTCCTGCTTTCCTAATGCTGAGGTCACAATGACAGGAAGGTGAAGTGGAGATGGGAGTGCTGATCTGAACTGGGATAGAATGAAGATCATCTTGTCTCCCAGACTTCATTGGCTTGCAGGCGACTGAACAGATGTTACTGTCTCAAGGCAAAGAAAGAATGGGCTCTGGGGTAGGGTGATAAGGCCCAACACAAACCACAGATACTAGATAACAAAGCCGTCTCTCTTGTAAATATCCATAGCAACACCAAGATAACAGTGCTCTCAGCCTCCCTGCAATGTCAGTGGGCAGGCTTTGGAACAGGGCCCAGGTCTCCCCTCACACAGTTTAAATCCAAAGCATTATGCTGGTTTCAGTTTGGGTGAGTGGCAAGTCAGGCTTACAGGGTCCATCACATTGTGTCTTTGGTTTAGAGAAATTATGCTCTGGATAGCAGCATGGACTTGGGTTTTCAAACGTAGAGTCTGCTAGCTGGCCTCAAGATGCTTTTTTTGCCTGCATCTCTGCGGGTACCAATGATCACACTTCTTGTTGGCCTCGATTTGCGATCACCTGTACCTGCAGAGGCACAGGTAAATAATTCATCTCACAGCAAGCAAGCAGCTTGCCCTTACAAGGTGCAACCCAGAGTTTGAAAACCCCTGAACTAAACCTTAGACTGTTACTTCTCCAACGCATTATCAATAAACTACAGCCTATACTGGAACAGGATACTAAACTCCAAGAGGCTCTGGGAGACAGACCCATAGTCTCCTATAGACAACCACCTAACCTCAAGATGATTCTTACCAACAACCACAGGACATATCACACTGCTACCAACCCTGGAACCTTCCCTTGCAACAAACCCCGTTGCCAGCTTTGTCCACATATTCACTCTGCTGATACCATTATTGGACCCCACCAAGTGAGTTATAAGATCAAGAACACATATCCCTGCGCATCCAGAAATATAATCTACGCTATCATGTGCCGAAAGTGTCCGTCCATGCGCTATGTACACTGGACAAATGTCTCAGACACTTCGCCAAAGGATCAATGCCCACAAAACAGATATCAGACAAGATCACAAAGAGAAAACAGTTTCTTGCCACTTTAACCAGAAAGGACACTCTCTAAATGACTTAGCCACCTGCATTCTGCTACAAAGACCTTTTACATCTGCACTTGAAAGGGAATCCTCTGAACTGTCATTCATGTTAAAATTCGACACTTACCACCAGGGACTTAACAAGTCTTTGAACTTTCTCACCCATTATCAAGACAGTTTCCCCAATTATCACCTGTAATACCATTAACTCACAAACATCCCACTCTCCCTACCTTTAATATCAGCAATTCACAGACACTTACCTTCCTTCCTCCCCCTTCCCACCCCCCCGCATCCCCCTTCTGTTCTGCAATGTGATTTGTCCTTTTCATATTTGTTCATTTTTTTTAAATTGTATCCTTTGGTATATATGGTTGTGACTACTTTCTTCCACTATTTGATCTGAGGAAGTGGGTCTGGCCCACGAAAGCTCATCATCTAATAAACCATCTTGTTAGTCTTTAAAGTGCTACATTGTCCTGCATTTTGCTTCAACTACCCCAGGCTAACACGGCTACATTTCTATCACCAATCTGGAGGGGAGCTAGAGCGTTAGTGTGGGAACCTTGAGTCTCGAGGGCCACACTCACGTGAGCTGGGGTATTAGGTTCCTCACCCCTGCTTTAAAAACAAAACCTCTTACTCTTAAAAATCGATCCCCGTATCTCTGGTCGGACCAGCTTCACGCAGGTCCTCGGGGATGGAAAACTGCAGCAAACTGTATGAACAGAAACAAACAGAAGCCCCAATCGCAGCTGGAGGTGGGGCGAGGCTGCCCCAGCAGGGACACAACGGGGCAGCCGCCCCCCACCAGATCAGGAAAACAACCGCGCCATTCCCCGGCCAGCAGGAAGGCGAGTGCCGCTGCAAGGCTCCGCAAGGGAGGTGGGCGGCAGAGGGGTGTTTGTGCGCGGCCGCGCGCCTTCAGCGGCAACTCCCCTGGTGCCCCCTTCTCTAGTCCAGCCAGGCCTAAAATGCTCAGTGCTTAGAAGGCGGGTGGGGAACCTAAGGCCTGGGTGCGTGGGGCTCCTCCACCGTCGCCCCCTCCCCACGCCGTGGGGCTGGAGCGCACAAAGCGACTAGGCTGGGCCCTGCAGTGCTCTGGCGCCAGGGGGACGTTTCTCCGCTCAGCTGGGGGCCAGGCAGGGAGGCTTTTCTGTCGGTTGGTTTGTCTGTCACCTGTTTGCCCCCCAATTCTCAGCCACTCCCCCCCTCTCCCCACACGCCCCCACCCAGGACGCTCTCGGCCTCTGCAGGAGGCACAGCCGGGCACTGCTTGAATCTGTAGGTAAGTGGAACTGGTGTCCAGATTCAGCGTCTGTTGAAACTGATCAGTTTCAGCAGCGGCTGATGCCAGTTCCGACTTACATACAGATTCAACTTAAGAACAAACCTACAGTCCCTATCTTGTACGTAACCCGGGGACTGCCTGTATATGGTTGTGGCAATTTTCTTCCACTATTTGATCTGAGGAAGTGGGTCTGGCCCACGAAAGCTCGTCACCTAATAAACCATCTTGTTAGTCTTTAAAGTGCTACATAGTCCTGTTTTTTACTTCTATTGCTGTCATTCATCCCTTCCCTAAGCATGTTCAAAGGCAGACACATGCCACGCTCAAAGCAATGGGAGTATGCAAGATGAATGGCCTTTATTACAAAGTTGTGACATGCATAGAACTAAGAGCCCAGGTTCTCAGCTACTGTGATTCAGAGGAAAGCTCCCCTGAAGTTCAATACCGGTATCCGTGGAGCGACACAGATTTACACTACCTGGGGAGTTGCCCCATATTTCTCCAGCGGTTTGCCGCATCATCTGACTTATGCATTCAGAAAGTATCACCTCCTCAAAAGCCTTTGCTGCGGTTCCTTTTTAGTGATTTGGGACCTGAATATTGATTATGAGGTGGGAGAGGGGAAGGCACAAAGATTTTCTGGAATGTTTCAGTTTCTTGTTCACCCCTACCAAACACAGACATCGGGCTCATCAAGAGGTCCAGAGAAATCCCATGTATTTTTACAACCAGGTTTTGCGAGACCCACCCATTACACTGACTAACCCCCCAGCCTTTTGTCTCCCTTCCAGTGTTGTGCCATGGTTGGGAGAACCAATGTAAGGAATTGAATGGTTTGTACTGAGCTTATACAGTATTCCATTCATGGTCCATGTCTTTGGCAATGAAGTTAGCTGTTCCTCCTCATCCCAAATTGCAGTGTCTGTCATTCCTTAACATTTTGCCAGTGCTGCCAATAGAGGAGAGCCATGGTCACTGGAGGAATTATCCATCCTGGCTCACAGAATCCTACAGTGGTTGTGCGGAGATACAAGTTCAGTGAGCGACTATTTTAGCTTCTCTTGAATGTCTCATGTAATTGAATTATAATAGGAACAGTGTGAAAGAAGATTATAAAGACATCATTACAACTTGCATACAGAAATTGTCTTTTCCCTAATGAAGTATTTAAGCTGTGTGCTAATCTGTTCTACAGACAGAGTCACATGATTTACACACTTCAATTTATAGGGGCTTAATAATGGGTTGCTTTAAAATCAGACATCTGTGCAATATGTCATAACACATCTCTTGGTAATTTATGCCATTCGTCATTTATTAATTATTTTAAATGGATGAACTTTGTGTTCTCTCGCCCTATTCCTTTCCCGCTTTGTAAATCTGTTCCTCTGAAGGGCATCCTGAAGAAATCCTTTAAAAGAAATGCTGCTTAGCCTTTCCTCACTTGGTGTAACTGCTGTGGAGCATGGAACGGGGCATTCCATCTAGTATCCAAGGGTATGTCTACACTACCCCGCAAGTTCGAACTAGGAGGGTAATGTAGGCATACCGCACTTGCAAATGAAGCCTGGGATTTGAATTTCCCGGGCTTCATTTGCATAAGCGGGGAGCCACCATTTTTAAATCCCCGCTGGTTCGAACCCCGTGCAGCGCGGCTAAACGGGGCTCGAACTAGGTAGTTCGGACTAGGTTCCTATTCCGAACTACCGTTACTCCTTGTGAAACGAGGTGTACCGGTAGTTCGGAATAGGCACCCTAGTCCAAACTACCTAGTTCAAGCCCCGTGTAGCCGCGCTGCACGGGGTTCGAACCAGCAGGGATTTAAAAATGGCGGCGCCCCCCTTATGCAAATGAAGCCCGGGAAATTCAAATCCTGGGCTTCATTTGCAAGTGCGGTATGCCTACATTACCCTCCTAGTTCGAACTAGCGGGGTAGTGTAGACATACCCCAAGTGATCTTTGTTTGAGAAGGGAAGATTTGCACCTGTCAGGACATGGGGGGGAGGGGGGGAAAGGGAGTCCTTCTCCCACTGACTTTTTTTTAAATGCTCCCAATTTGGAATTGAAGCTTTCCTGATGCAAACATAGGACTGCAGGATGGTCCTATCTTCCAATGTAGCTCTTGAGGGTCACAGCTCTTGAGCCAACAAGGCATCCATATCTGGACATGCAGAGTGGAACATCTACTTTTATGATGGCATTAACAACTCCCT